TTATAAACTCCTGGGCAAAGAAACACTGTATTGATTGGGTGTATCTCATCCTGTACTGCCCACAAGCCTTCAGAAAGATTGAAAGATATAATGGTCTGGTAAAGACTATGTTGAGGGCATTGGACAATGGGGGATGGAAGCACTGGGCTATAAATTTAGCAGAAGCCACTTGGCTTGTTAACACCACAGGATCTGTTAACTGTCCAGGTCCTGCCCAAACAGAACCCCTCCATACTGTGGGAGAAGACAAGGTCCCCATAGTGCACACAGGGAAATGGCTGGGGAAGTCAGTGTGGATTGCTCCTCCCTTGGAAAAGGCAAACCCATTCATGGGATTGTTTTTGCTCAAGGACCTGGGTGTACTTGGTGGGTGATGCAGGAGGATGGGCACACACGGTGTGTACCTCAAGATTTAACCTTGGCGGGAAAATAATTTGTGATGTGAGTTGTATATTGCAGGAAGTGAGGCAGTAGGTGCAACCTGAAACGACAAAGAGTGAAATTCATGAGGAACCAGATGAGTGCAATGATGACCTGAACCTAGCCGGTGCTGGAGCACAACAATCAGCTCATGGAACAGGGGAAGATGTGTTGATATGAAGAAACTTCAGTAATGGGAACTGAATGTGAAGAAGAAAATAAGGATGGCGATAAGAAGAATGAAATAAGAAGGTTAAAGAAATGTGTTACGTGCGGCCTGAGCATGACGCAAATGGTATGGAATAAGGGGTGGAGACTGTAACGGGTCTGGCTGAGCTGATTTTCCCATAGAGTTAGAAGGGTATTGATAACACCCATATTATGACTACCACTGAGCAGTGCTTACACAGCACCAAGGCTCTTTCTAACATTCCCCCCTGCAGTGGGATGGGGGGGCAGGAGCTTGGGGGGAACATAACCAGGACAGCTGACCCTAACTGACCAAAGGGATATTCCATACCATATGATGGCAGCTCAACTATAAAGCTAGTACAAAGGAGGAGGTGGGGGGCTACTCAATCCTCTGGAGCAACTGTTATGCGTTTTGGTGCCTTGCTTCCCAGGAAAGGCCAGACATCGCCTCCTGATGGGAAGCAGAGAATAAGTCTTTGTTTTTTTTTTTTCCTCTTTGTTTCCATGTGCGACATTGCTTGGCTTTTGGTCTGTAATTAAACTGACCTTGATTTTTACCCACAAAGGTTTTGTCTCAATCTGATTTTTCCTTTCCCCTTTTTCTCTGTGGAGGAAGGAGAGGAAAGTGGGAGGGTGATAGAATGGTTTGGTGGGCATCAGTTGCTCAGCCAGGGTTAACCCACCACAGGAAAGCATAAGCCTTTTAGCTTAGTTTTCTAAGATGGAAGAATGCAAAGCAGAATTGAAAAAGGATTTGAAAGGTATTTGGAGGTGCCAACTCTGAAAGAGAATGCTTTATTTGTTTCTTTAGGAATATCAAGGTAATTTTTTCCATTTACATTTGTGGCTCACTCTCTTCAAGCTGCAGATATGTGGCTTTATATGTGCTTTTTGACAGGCTGGAAAAAAAAAAAATCTAAAAGACATAAGATTACTACAGTGGTTATGCAAATAAGTACCACTTGTTTACTCAGCCATGAGATTATTTGTTTTCAGTGTTAGAACTGAAAGAAGACAGTCTCAGAAACTCAATTAATGAATTTTAAATAATATTTATGTAATGAATTGCACAGCCAAACACTAGTTATCTAATTTAAAAGGTACTTTGAAGGCAAAATTGCCTCTCTATCCAAGAAGTACTTTTGAGATTCAGGAAAGAAATGAGAGTGCAATATTCTTGACAAAACTTTTCTTTTTTTTTTTTTGTTTGTTCTGTTTGTTTGGTTTGGTGTGTTTTGTTTTTTGTTTTTTTTTTTTTTTTACTACGTATCCAAATCTCTTGAACAGTATCGATTCTGTGAAAATCCTTTTATATTTATAGGGGAAAAAAAAAAACCCTCAACTTTCACTTCAGGTAGGGAAGAAAAAATATCCCCGTTAATCTCTTGAATTTTATTTTTTTTCCTGTTTAAGCATTTATACGTGAGAGAAAATGACTTTTCAAGAGATTAGTGCTTCTTTCCTCCAATAAATATTCAAAAGCTTTCCAAACTGAGGATGTCTACCCAGATAATTAATCTATTTTAATTAGCCCCAAAACATTATCCTCAGAAGAACTGCTTTGGAAATACAATTCCTTGAGATAGCTCTTGATTTTTGACGCTTCTATAAGAAAACAACAATGAAAGGCTTCTAGTTTGTCAGTTTGTTTTAAAAAAAAAAAAAATCATCGAACTGTAATGTCTTTAGCAATAGTATGCATATCTTTATGAGAATTAGGAATTATTATGGAAAAGGATTTTCCAGTATTTATTGCATATTTTACCACTGATTCAAGTAAACTATGTCAGAAGTTAACATAGATGTATTTTCTGTTACACTGTAAGCTTTGTTAGCTTTGATACTTAAAAAGATCCTTGTTTGTCAACTCTTTTCCATACATAAACCAAACAATAATACAGAGAGATGCCACTTTCCAGAAGAAAAAAAGTAACTGGCCTACTTACTGGAATCTGGCATAATGCGAAGGTCACCTTCTTTATAGTCATCTAAGAGTTGGTACATGTACAAGACAGGATCTTTCTCGTAGGTAATATAAAACCATGTTTTCATAATAGGAGCTCGAGCCAAGACCATCCCCCTCCATTCATCTTTTGAGCCATCCTCTGTCTCAAACATATGTTCCACAGCTTTGCCAATCATTGTGTCTGCCAGGTGGGCATCGCTAATACGAGATGAAGCTGAAATGGTAGCAGTTTATAAGTATGTTCATTCAAAAGTACAGGAATAAGTCTTTGCAAAAATTAATCTTTATCCAGATTAATGAATAAATTTGGTTTAAAGTTAGTCAATTCACATACAAAACAAATACTGTTCTTAGAGTTGAAGACCAAAGAACTGCAGAACTTGAGGAATTATTTTCATGTTAACACTCTTATCAATATTTTCCATCATTGTACAAACCCTTCAATTAATCAAACTATCATAATGCAAGGTAAATGGAGACCAATATAGGCCACAGCAAACAGCATATGTATTTAAAATATTTGTATTGTGGGGGGAGGGGAGAAAGAGAGGTTATATCACAGAGCAGCTATATGGAATTACTAATAAAGGTGTTTGGTTTGGTTCCTCCTAATCCCATTCTAGAGACTGCTACTGATCTCTTTGCAATCTGGAAAAACAAGAACTTATTCCATTCAGAAATAAGTAATTACCAGGGTAAAATTTCAACTTCGCAGTTTGGAAAACTCTGCAGTTTAACAATTCAGTGCAAGTTATGAAAACCAATAAAGCCTTGTTACTAGTAAAGTGATTTCACTTAGAAAATGCTTTTTTCCCTGTTTGTATTAATACCTAGGGAAAGTACATGAAAAAAAACCCCAACCAAACACATAATTACTGTCAAACACACACAAGACAACATAGCCAGGACATTTCTCACCTGGCTCAGAGATTAAATTTTAATAGAAATATCAGTGTTACATGAACATAAGCTTGTTAGGCATAAGATTCTAAACAATAAAAAATACAGAATTTACTGCATACCATTTAAAGACAAAAAACAGCACTATGCTCTCAAGGTATCATCAAATCTTTGTGAAATCAAGAAAAATTAAACAGAGCATTTAGATTATCTGCCATATGATAAAAAGTAATTTAATAAACTTTAAATGTTCTGATAACGTGCATATAGGAAAAAAACTCTTACCAACTCTGTCTGGAAGGACTTCAAGTGCTGAAACTCTTTCATCTTTGTGCAGTTCTAGTCCATACACACAATCAAATCCATCATACTTTATAAGATAGAGAGAGGGATTTACAGGAACTTGATCAAGAACTGTACCCTTCCACTGTGTTACAGGTCCACTTCCTTCTTTCCAGCCATGCTGTATTCTGCAGCCTACAATGTTTCTTCGTGGCTGAGAAATAGGTTTGCTTGGTCCAACATTGTTTCTATGCTTTCTGTACACAGATACAAACATAACATTAAACAAACATGTACTCAAAATTCTATTCCTGACAAGAGCTTTAACCTTTAAGAAAGCAATATTCTATTATATATTAATAAA